GATGTTCCCCCTTATACTAACAGTCCTTGATAGGGATTAGAGTACCCCCCGATTGTAATGCCTATTAAGGACTGTTAGTGTAAGGGGGGGAACATCCCAATTCATGAGCTTCACTTCTCAGACATTACTCCGGAAGGCACCTGTGAATCCCATAGTCCCATGTGGTCCCTGTCTCGTTCTCGGAAAAAAGAACTTAAAGGGCTTAAAGAGCTTGCAATGACAGGCGCCACAATGCGTCACACAGAGGCACCCCAGATCCTGAGAAGGAAATACCACCTCAAAAGGGAATCGTTGAAGCATCTGAAGGAATTTCAAGGGAACTTTGAAAAAGGAATTTGTTACAGAATCCTTAAGGCTCGATACCCTCCCACTGGGCCAAAGGCCTCAGGCACGGTCTGCGGGGGCAGCTGCGCCTGCCCTGTGTAGACGAAGTCGAGCACCTGCTCTCCCCTTACACGCCCCTCCTTTCTAAAGGATAACGTGGCCCCTCAAGAAGATGTATCCCACGGCTGAGGTGGGAATCATTCCCAGAACCTGAACACAGCTCTCGCAAGCTATCAGGATGCAACCCCTCTTAAGTTACGCTTGGGCACAGCCGTGACTGCAGCCGCGGACGCCCCGGCGGCAACAGTGCGGAGCCTAGGCCATCTGAATAAATCTGCAAGAAGAACAGCTTGCTGCGTAGGCCCGAGTCTCTGCAGGGTTTCGAGACGTCTAGGGCCCCTAATCGGGCTTTGCAAAACTGCGGGCGCCAGGCCCCTTCTTGCAACCATTGTCGCCTCAGGCACCGGGATGCAGAGGGTCTAGGAGAGCCATCCGGATGTCCAAGCATGAAACTGGGGGCAGAGGGAAAACCACGTTTGGGAAAAAACCCTGTTAGGGTTTAGGGTTTTAGGGTTCAGGATTTAGGGTTTGGGATTAGGGTTTAGGGGTGGATCTGAAGGTTGCAATGTGCATGAGGCAAAGGACTTTCTCGGTGCTGGGTCTGCTACCGCCTAGCTTAGCACGCTTTGGTCACTTTCCTGTAAGGTCATGACAACATGCTGGTCTTCTCTCAATAGATGGCACACCTTGCGATTGAAAATCCACAGCCCCACTTTCAGGAGCGAAAAACACGTCGTCGCACTAATTGAGCACCTCTTCCTTGAACTAAACCCTAAACCCTAAACCCTAAACCCTAAACCCTCAACCCTCAACCCTAAACCCTAAACCCTAAACCCCAAACACCGAACGTGTCACTTCTACACCTTTCACTGCCCGGGACCGCTTTGCCTGTGGAGTCCGGCTCTTTGGCCTTGCTGCGGGTACAAAAAGGCGTGAGGATGTGCGACGGCGTTAGACTCCGTGGCTTCAAAACGTGGATCCGTTCTTCCTTTGCGCCACCAAAGAGGCCGGGGAGCGCTCCTAGAGACCTAGAGACTCCGGGCAACACCCGGCCTTACCATGCAACAGAAACACAACACAATATAGAAATAAAAAGCACACACACACACAGAGACAGAGAAACACCAAACAACAAGCCAATCACCACCAGGCCTGCTCCATAAGTTTCCGCAGCTTCTCACTGCACGAGGCGAGCACCACCTGACGTGGGCGCAAGGCTTCTATGCCAAATGCGCTTGGGGAGTTAGGGTTTAGGGTTTAGGGTTTAGGCTTTAGGCTTTCTTAGGGTTTGGGGTTTGGGGTTTAGGGTTTAGGGTTTAGCGTTTAGGGTTTAGGGTTTAGGGTAGCTAACCCCCCCTGTCTATTTCACCAAGCAGCCCTCTAAGCCTGAAACCCTAACCCTAATAAGCTGCCTGAAGTACCGCATTCTAACTTTAAAGAGAGCCACTCGTAACAACCTCTCCTCCGTTCTCTCCAAGGCTCCGCCAGCAACTGTCGCCGAAACCCTAAGCCACACTGTATTCACTATATGGGACTTTACGAAAACAAGGAACCCCGCATATACACCCCCAAGTAGTAGGATTCCCTTATCATAAGGACCCCAATGCAGATCCCCCTAATATCGTAAACCCCCATATAACCCTATAGTATAATCCTACAATATACCAATAATATACCCCTATAATATAAAACCCTATAATATGACCCTATCATATAACCCTATAAAATAACCCTATAATATAATCCTGTAATATAACCCCTCTAAACCCCTACGTTGCCGCCATCCCCAGGGCCCCGGGCCGCGTGCGCGTCAAAGGACGGGCCATCGGCGGAGAGCAGCGACACGTCGCAGAAGGCGCCGTCCTGCAACGGATCGAGTGCTGGAAGCTGCTGTTCTAGTGTTTTATGTGCATAAGCTTGCCTCATTTTGGGTACTAGACTGTATGATACTATGATATGTTGTGCTTGAGCTTTGCCTTTTTCGGGATTAGAATGAATTTTATATGGGTTTGCGCGAGGACACTTCTTCACCCGGATTTGGAAACACCCCATGGCCAACAACAACCCTCGGCATCAGGGTGAAAATGGGAACTTCCCCTCACCAGCCTCAGGGGGCCCAAGGGTTTGCCGAAACCTCTCACCGGACCCCTCTTAGAAGTGAAAATAAGTGAAACCTAGAATCCTTGAGCTGCAACCTTGCGCAGCTCCGCACACCCAAAAGCTTCCAAAGCCCTGGTGCGAAAAAGCGGAGTCCTTTCGCAGGGCATCGAGGCGCTCCCACTGGCTCAGCTGGGTCGGCCTTTGGCAGGGGCTCTAGGGGTTTTTCCTTAGAGTTTGTGAGCTTTGGGCTTCGGGGATTGTTGACAGCGATCACAATGCAGCCCCAGAGCACTGAACTGCCCGGACCAAAAATCGCAGCAGCATCCCATCACCTTCCATGACCACAATTTGCCCCATTGCCGACAACCCCCCAGACCCCACCAAGCAGCCCACCTGGCGGCCGCTAAGCGCAGCTTGGGCGGCATGCTCTCAAGGCCATGGGGACTCCATGAATCGGAGCAGATGCAGCCAACAAGGTTTTCAGATTCTTGGCTAGGGTGCTGGCGGTTGCTTACACAAGCTTTTGGGTTTGAAGGGATTGGGTTCAGGGGTTGGGGCTGTGAGGCTCAACGCTGAGGTTCTCCTGGGCTACTTGGGGTTCAGCATGCACCATTCTATGTGCAAGAATGCTCAACGTTTCACATGAAGCGTGGCGGATAATTGTCGAGAAGCCTTCCACTCAAGGAAATTAAGTTTGTACATATATATATATATATATACATCACAATCCTGCAGCTCGAGGCACCTGTCCCCACTCCACAGTAGCTGCACCGGAGAGACAATGGGAGGCATTCTGCCCTGTCCCACACTGGTATCGCCATATGTTAGTTCACGCAGCCCAGGACAAAACCGACACGCTGGCGGGCTTTCAGAAGAAAGCAACAAGCCCCAAGTTTTGCGCAGTGCAAGTTCAGCTTCTGGCTTCAGACCATTCAGGATGCACACTGCACACAACCACCAAGTCGCAACCCCGACATTGTGCATGCCGTTGCATGCCACCGCACACACCACATCCAACACTGCCCGAGACCCGGACCGCTTGAAATCCAAGTAATGCAACAACCAAGCCTTGTGAGCCCTGCCCCCAAACCCTACAGACATCCTTGCACCCTGAGCAAACCTCTAACAACCCTAAACCCTAAACCCTAAACCCGAAACCCTAAACCCTAAACCTGGGGGATCGCGGAGAAACCGCAGCACCGACTGTGCTCCTCCTCGGCTCGAAGCCTGCGGATCGACGACACCGGCCTGGCACTTCCCCGGCGAACCCTGGCTTTCGGAGTGCTTTGCGGCTTTTTGTTTTTGCTAGATTCTAGCGTTCGCAGACATGGGGGGGTGTACGACGATAAGGGGCCCCGAATATAGACTCCCAATTTAGTAGGATTCCCTGAAAATAAGGAAAAGGACCCCAATAGGGTACCCTAACTTCGGAGACCCTCAAATGGAATCACAAGGCAAGGGCCTCGCTTGACATGCGCTCGCAACCCGAAGGCCCAGAATCACCCGAAACTGGCTGGTTCTTAGTGGGGAATGAGGGAATGAGGCGCTATATAATCCTTTAAAGGATACATAAAGGGCCCTCATCCCCTCATTCCCTACGGAAGACGGTTGGCCGTTCTCGGAGCGCACTCTCTGGGCCACCAGGCTCGGGCAGCGCCTCCGTCTCGGAAAGCTTCTGGGGCTCGCCTGGTTGCCCAGGACAGCTGCAAAACGTAGACACACAGACACGCGGACCCGAACGAGAATTTCAACCCCCGAAGTCGAGGGAATCAAAGTTGCACAGCCACGGAAGAAGCGATCTGCCTCCAGAAACAATGCGATGCTCTTCTGGCACGTCGGCTTTCTGGCGGAGGATGGGGGGGGGAATAGTTGAGCTTGCTTTGAGTCGAGAAGCCTTTGCAGAAGCACATGCTTCAGCACCAATCCGACCAGTCCTACACAACCTTGCTACGGTATGCCTCGCGACAAGTTCCCAAGTCCCTTGAAGGAGGGTTCCCGGCCCTCGAGTGGGCAAAGTAGTAGCTTGTGTCCCCTTTCACGGCGATGGAGTTCTGACAGGCGGCAGAGTTCAGGCAGCTCTCTCTCTCTCGGCTGAGAAGCAACTACTCAAGAATCTGAGGGCTCGTGCTCAAGCTTTCTCGGGACTCTGCATTGCGGAGACTAGATGAAACAAGCCTCCATGACCTTCGAGTGCTTCCAGTCTTCCAGCGTTGAGGCTTAGGTCTGGAGATGTCTGGAGGCCACTCCACAAGGACCACCCCCAAACATCCGTACAAATCCTAAACCCTCTAAAGACTCAAGACTTGTTCCCCAACCCAAGCCTGCACAGCATCGCCCGGAAGATCCTCATCTGCCTACAGTCGGACATCGTCCCAGCAGGTACCAACCAGTGCCAGCATGCTGGCATGCAACAACAGCCAAACAGTTGCTTCAGCCCCTCCAAGCATCCAGCCACGTGGTTCTGATGACCGCCCCCAGCTGTGCCTGTCTGTCTACATCCCAGATTGTGGCTTTCTCTACTCAAGCTCGACACAGCCCTCCTTCATGTCAACCCAATCAAGAAAGCCTGAGCTAGGATCCAACGCCTTGCACTGATATCTTTGCGTGCCGGGTGCGCCAAGCTTGCCGGCAGCACCGTGCACGCCGACCGTCAGAATCGCCTGAGCAAGCGGCTGAGCACGAAAACATCCCCCCGCCCCAAAGAGATCGGGCAAAATCCACCAAACATCGTCACGGACAAAATGTCTCTCTTCTTCCTCTCTCTCTCTCTCTCTCTCTCTCTCTTCTCTCTCTCTCGCGCTGCTCTATCCTTATCTCCTCTTCCCTGTTCTCAGGCTGCTGCCCCATCACGCACATCCTCGACCTCGAGGATGGCATCGTCGCGGAGCCACTTCTGCAGAGACACATCAATGCGACTTACATGGGCGGATGAGGAGCACTCGACACACCATAAGCAACCGCCAAGCTGCTTAACTGGACATTGGCGGCATTGGACTACAATCAAAGCCTAAATACCGTAAGAAGGCCATCAGCCAGACGCACACCAAGGAAGGAGTGGGCAAAGGCATCCACTCATCATTTCAATATCTGACTATATTTCTTGAGGACAAGACCCAAGGTCATGGGACACTCGGCAACCTCACTACGCTCTGCAAAGTAGCCCTGCTACCCCATGTTCGTCACCTGTCTGGCGCCCTCGTCTGTGTTCTGGAAGAAGATCTCCTGCCACCGACCCTCACATGTGCCAATGTTCTCCGAGGACAGGCATCTCGCCACCTATCTCTCTCTCTCTCTCTCCCTCTCTCTCTCTCTCTCTCTCTCTCTCTCTCTCCCTCTCTCTCTCCCTCTCCCTCTCCCTCTCCCTCTCCCTCTCCCTCTCTCTCCCTCCCCCCCCCCTCCCCCTCCCCCTCCCCCTCTCCCTCCCCCTCTCTAGCTAGATTAGTTTCTTTCTATGTGTGCGTGTGTGTGTGCGTGTGTTTCATATGTACATTGCCAAACAATATCTAATGTGCTATCAAATCCTTAATGCTAAAGACAAAAATTAGACCTTTAGATTTAAACTTGACTTGAAACAGCGCATTATGCTGTTTGTAGAAAAGGCCCTGTGTGAATAGCACTTTGTATTACATGACTCTATGAATAAAATGCAACCGGCCGGTGATTAGCATAAGGAAACTTACTTGTCACATCTGACCTCCAAGAAGGTTTCAATCGGAGGAACTAATTGAAGAGCATAGTTTGCTAAACAACAATGTTCATTCAAGGTTTTAGGCCCTTCGTTAGTTACAGAAGTAGCCCCTGTACACATCCAGTATCTAGCCCAACGGCATTCAGCTGAATGACATGTTGAATTACCTTTTGAGTAAGATGTGGTTTCATGAGTTTGCTTCACATATTGTCATGAAACTGGCCTCCAACTACGTTTAATTAATTCGCCTCGGCTTCCAGCCGAGGGTCTAGAACAACCTTATGTTTCACCTTTTGATTCAGTTCTAGGTGTATGCGAATTAACATGCTTGGCTCACAGTCATATCTGTATAACCTTTAAACAAGCAAGAATACGTAAACTACATCTGTCGGACGCAGAATGTTGGACATGCGCAGCGAACTTTCTATAGCACTATGCCGGCGCCTTAGGTGGGACCATGTCACTGTGCACACCTACACTGTCATCCCGCCACACACGGCCAAGGAGATGACCCGTTTCAACTCACAAAGAGAGGGGGAATGAGGGAGAGGGAGAGAGAGAGAGCGAAAGAGAGAAAAAAAAAAGAGAGAGAAAGACAGGAAGGAGAGAGGGAGACGGAGAGAGAGAGAGAGGGAGAGCGGAAAAAATTGAAATGAAAGGACTAAACAAACAATATGTAAGCTACTGAAGTAAGGAAAATCCAAGAGAATTGGGAGTCGAAATTCATCAAGTTGAATAACATGACGCACGTACGCACACACACACGCAGACACGCAGACACGCAGACACGCAGACACGCAGACACGCAGACACGCAGACACGCACACACGCACACACGCACACACGCACACACGCACACACGCACACACGCACACACGCACACATGCACCAAAATAGAAATATACATATACATAGATACACACATATACATAGATACACATACATATACATATACATACACATACACATATACATATACGTATACATATACATATACATATACATTTACATTTACATTTACTTAAACAGTTCCATATCCATATACATATACATATACACATACATATACATATACATATACATATACACATATATATATATATATGGTACCCCCCCCCCCCCAGTGACCTACCCTTTTTCGCCTTGTCTCAAGTCACCCAGCTGCACTGCAAGCAAACTCGGTGTGCAATATAGCGTATTTCCTAGGGCGTAGACTAAAATACAACTAAATTCGCATACACGGGACAGTAGAAAAACCAAAAATACCAAAACCAAAAAACCAAAAAAAACAAAACCAAAAAAACCAAAAAAACCAAAAAAACCAAAAAAAACAAAACCAAAAAAACCAAAAAAAACAAAAAAAACAATTTTCCGGAACTCTCAGGAATCCCTATGAGGCTTCTCCAAGAGTCCCGGAAAATTGGTTTTTTTGGTATTTTTGGTTTTTTTGGTTTTGGTTTTTTTGGTTTTTTTGGTTTTGGTTTTTTTGGTTTTTTTGGTTTTGGTATTTTTGGTTTTTTGGTTTTGGTATTTTGGCTTTTTGGTTCGCCTTCACGGTCACGAGGCAACAACTACGCATTTTTTAGTGTGGTTATGCTAATTGTGCTTTTCAGAAATAGTATACAAGTGGTCTTTCTAGTGCTTCAGAACTATTTGTTTCGTTATTGTGTAGGTAGAGCCGCTAGTGTTTAGTGCATCTTTTGGTTGTACTCAAGTGTAGTAGACCTTATTCAGCCATTACTTGGTGCTCTGGTAGCTCAATTCGCATGGATAATATTTGCCTGGCAAAAGCGATTAACTATCTAGAAGCAGCATTTGCAATACTTGTCTTGAGAAAAAGCATTTAATGCTTAGAATTGTTTGCTTAAAAAGTGACTCCTACTCGTCCAGGGATACCCCAAAACCCTATAATCCAAACTTCACCAGAGATTCTCATGAAAAGCTTGCACTTTTGGATGTTTTTATGTATTTGTGAATTTGCTCTTCACTAAGTAATTTTCTAGGATTCTTGTGCATTTTTAAGCCTGATTGTGCAAGTTGCGTTTTTCAAGCATAGTATATATGTGGTCTTTATTGAATACTTCAGACATCTTTGTTTCATCGTTATGTAAGTAGAACCGCGTCTATTTCCATTATTGTGCATTTTTAAGCTTGCTTATGCAAATTGTGCTTTTCAGACATAGTATATAAGTGGTCTTTACTGAATACTTCAGCAATCTTTGTTTCATTGTTATGTAGGTAGAACCGCTTCCATTTCCGTTAGTGTTTATTTCGTATTTGGTTGAGTATGGTCCTTTAAATAGTATTCAATTGAGTCAAATTGGGCAATTTGCTTAAGAATTCCTCTAGTAGTTAAATTCGCATAGAATGAATACTTCAAAAATATAAAATGTTTCATGAATATGTAAACATAAGGTATTTCATTTGACTTTGCAGATAGTATTTCAATAATACTTTGCCTGGTGTAAACACAACCGTTTCAATGCATTAGTGGCTCAACAAAGCACTATTTGCCCTTTAAACCACACTTTGCCATATTTTGGTTGAATATGGTGCTTCTTTCGTATTTTGGTTGAGTATGGTCCTGTAAATGGTATTCACTTGAATCAAATTGGGCTATTTGCTTAATAATTACTCTAGTAGCTAAATTCGCCTAAAATGATTATTTCAAAAATAAAAACGATTCATGAATATGTAAACATAAGGTATTTCAGTGGACTTTTCAGAGAGCATACTTTGCCTAGTACAAACACAATTGTATGAATACAGTAGTTGCTCAACAAAGCACCATTTGCACTTCAAACGCACACTTTGCCATATTTTGGTTGAGAATGGTGTCTATTTCGTATCTTGGTTGAGTATGCTCCTTTAAATAGCATTCACTTGAGTCAAATTGGGCTCTTTGCTTAATAATTACTCTAGTAGTTAAATTCGCATAGAATCAAGAAAAAGTTTCACTATTTGATTAATACTTTGCCTCGTACAAACACAATTGTATAAATAAACTAGTTGTTCAACAAAACATTAGTTGCCCTTTAAACGCACAATTTGCATAGAAAAAACACAGATCTAATCATCTAAAACCAGCATTGTCCGCTTCAGATTCAAAATGTAGATTATTCCAATGCTGGCTTATCGGGGTCTGTGAGGTGGGTGTCCCAGTAACTGTCCTTCATTACCTGGTGATTAACTACGCGACTTTTGGGCCTTCTTCGTTATTTTTTGTTAAAAAGGCCTAAAAAGGCTTAAAAAGGGTAGGTCGCTGGGGGGGGTAGCATATATATATATACATATATATCCTCAGCTGTTTATGTGTTTGTTTATGTAAACACACTTCCACCATGCAGTTGGGTCGCCATATCATCCACCGGAATGTTGAAAGCCTAGGCAGGCCGCAAGACTCAACAATCTAAGCTGTAGGCTGCAACAGTTATCGACTTCCTTTGAGGATCAGAAGAAGAGCTTGCCAGAAACGATCGCTTCACTGGCTTCACTGATCTGCCGAGTTAACGTGAACAGCTTTGTCGGATACCGGATACACCTGCCAGCAAGGAGCATACCAGAAACTGCAGTATGCATGATCCGGGTGTGCCACACCCCCCACCCCCACCCGTTGGAGCTTGCGCGGTCCCCCCCCGGTAGGAATTGGCGTGCAAGTTTAGGGTTTAGGGCTCGGGGTTTAGGCACGCACGCGCGTGTGTGTGCGCCTGTGGAGTTTTAAGATTCGGGTTTTGGTTTATGGGCTTGTGGCTGATTCGCACCCTTTCCAGTGGGTGACACGACCTTGCATGCATGAATCAACATCTTTAGGTGATGACGCCCAATGAC